CACAGCAGCAGGGTCACGGCAGCCCAGGCAAAGGCTGTTCCTGTGCTCTTGCTGCCAGTCCCAAGTGCCACCAAACTGAACTGTCCCTGCTGCTGCCAGGCCTGTGTCCTTTCACAGGCAGTTCTGCAAAGCATGAGCAAAAGCAAACACAGCTCTCCCGACCTCTCGCTGTACGGTAGCACTGTAGTAAATGCTGCTCCAGCTACTGCTCTTCCACGTCTTTTTTGTGGTTGCTGAGCCTATTTCATCTAATATGCATCCTGTTTCCCCCCAGCTTTATTGTTTGATACTTATCTATGTATAATTCCTCTCTCCGTTTACTGGCCCACTAACAAAAAGATTTAAATCTTCTCTTGGGAAGGCAGCACTATTTGCTTGTATCATCAATGCTGCAGCCAGTAACAAGCTTCAGTGTCCTCCATATGATATTTAAAACAAATCTTTTGTATCTTGTAAACAAACAGGGAAAACTCCAGGTGAAACTAAAATCTCCCTGAAATCAATAGCTTGATGACCAATTACTAGTAACCATGCAAGTCCCTTGGCAAAACTGACCCTAACAGGTTATTGTATCCTTAGCTACCTAGATCTCAGCGAAGGTGAAGTCATTTTTTGAAAATATTAACCCTTTCTTCCTTTCAGAACAGTGGGTCTTAGCTGCCTTATCCTGCTTCTCCTGCTTTCCCATTTACTCCCCAGGTACAGATAAAATTGATAGACWAAAATGAATTAGAGATCTGCGCTTTAGCATCGGTGGATTCACAGACTGAAATATGTTTCCTTAACATGGGTAGTGCAGTGGCAATTTCTTTACTGATTCATAAGCAGAAATTTGTAATATGTGAAGAATAAATAGAAAACCCACCTTGCATTTTACAGGAACTGTTGGCATCCTCATATCTGGGTGATACACCAATRTTTATGTGATGGAGATGTGATTGGTGCAGCTCATGTCTCAGGACTACAAAAGCATTTCTGAACTTTATTAAAGGGACATTCATCATTAAGTCCAATTTCTGGGTGAATCCTCCTAATATTATGCAGTCTGCATTAGTAAGCTCGCTCATTTTCCTGAATTTGCATGCTGCTTATAAACTCCTTTCAGTTTCTTACGGGAAAATACTCCCAGATAAGAAACACTCCTTTAAATTCAATTGTTATTGTTACTACTGGTGGTTTAAAACAGAAATCTCTTGTTTGAGCCTGCATGAATTTCTAGGGGAAAAATTCAGTCTTGGGGAACTGAATCCTTTGCGTTTGGTCTGCTTTTTGTATGGGATCCAGGCCCAGAAAAAAAAAAAAAAAAAAAGGAAAGAAAAAAAAGTGAATTCTCATATGAACAGTCAGGCTGTGATATATTGAACCACATAGCACAAAAAGCCCTAAAAGCGGTAGACCATATGCAATGTCTAATTGATTAATCCTGCTCCTTGGGTATTTCTGTTATTCTTAGTAAAAAACATTCATTAAGAAAATGATTCCTGAGATTTTGTTTGTTGAMTGTAAGCCCTGGCCTGACCTCAGCCTTGAATCCAAATCCCCAGGAGAAGCCCAAAATGAATCCACCCCTGGCACAGTTATTAGAAATTATAATTATTGACAGAGGCCACCAGTTGCAAATGAATGGCTTTCAGCAACATCGTGCTTTACCTTACAATAATGGGGGGGGGAAATGCACTTTCTTCTTACGATACTTCTCCTGTAACAATGCACGRCCTGGTACATCCAACATTTGCCTATACACATAGACATTTGCTCAAACCCTAAAACTCCTGCAATTACAAAGCTAAGCAATTGAAAGCTGCTGCTTTCCTGGCAGAGTTTGCATCTTGCGGCCCGTTGCTCCCCGAGCAGAGCGGGCGAACGTGGGGCTGCAGCTCCAAGCCCTGCCCGGCTCGTGAGCGCAGACGGGCGGGAGCAGAGGCAGGAGACTGTCCCAGGGCTGTGATTTCTTGTGACGTTTCTCCCATCACTTGCCTTCAAGCTGCTCTAGAAGCCGGAGGTTGGACAGAGCTGATGGGGAAACCTGCCTGCTGTGACGGGAAGCTCAGACTGCCTCCGAAACCGTAATCAGGAAGCCTGAGGAGCCAACGCAACCAAACAAACCGGCCCCATGCAGCAGTGCTGGGAATCTCCATCTTTCCGGCACAGCCCACGACCACACGCACAGCCGGGCATGGGAATGGGGTGAGTGGAGGGCTGATGAACAGTCAGAAGCAGCAGCTTGGGAAAATGTTTGAAAAAGTGCTTAGAGGCTGTAAGGAAACACCAGCTCCTTTGAAGACCACAGGGACAGAAGTGAGGGGCACATAATTACACCTGAATTACTGCAGTAACAGACACATTATTGCATGTGCATGGCCGCAAGTCATGGATCAGCAATTAAGCACACAAACATCTCTGAGCACATCCCAAACTGCTTGTCCCTGCATCCTCCCTTGAAGTTGAAGCTTCCATGTTTTTCTAACCGGGAGCATGTGCTCGTTCATCACTCAGCTGACGTGCGGTAACTCGACGAACTGTCTGAACTCAGGAGCACCAAATGGCCATGGGATTACAGTTACACTCCTGGAAATCCGTTAAAAAAACTCTCGGCCAGGCTCTGCCTTGCATGCCTGGGTTCCTGTGGTAAAACGGAGCAGGTTACTGTGTAACTAAAGAGCTTCTCATTGTGCACAAGGGAAGACATGAAGGCAGCAAAGACAACTCGGCTCTGCCAGCCCCAATGGGTGCCTGCCTTCCTCACACTGGAATATTTGCTCTCCTTGCCACTCCAATGCCATGTCCATACCAGGCCATCGCTATATGAACAATCTCTGCACTGAAGCCTAAAAAAGGCAGCAGAGGAAAAAGATAAAATAACCGTGGTCATGTTCTCTGCTCATCTGTGCTCTCTGTGCAGCAACTGCTGCTGCTCAGGGTCTTTCTTGCTGGTGCTGTCCTCGCCTGGACCCTACACAGTGGTCCAGAGAGCCTCAGGCCTCCTTTTCTCCCCCTCAGCTCACAAAAGAAAAACACTAAGATGTTTCCATTGGCTTTTACATCATCTTTTTGTAGAGACTAATCTTCAGTTCCAACAATACATCTTTTGTGAAGGGCTCCCAGTAGAAACCTTAGACACCTTCCATAAGATCTGTTTGCTTACAGAAGACGAGGCAGGATTTGTTTAAACCCAGCTAGATTAATGTCTTGCAGACATTAGCGAAGTGAGATTTAATCAGGTTATTTCTCTACATTTTCCAGGGAAATAAATCACACTTATTACTAGGTTGGAATAAGATGCAAGGCTCGAACTGAGAAAATTTAGTCTTTTTTGTTTTTCCTTGGGGGGATAAATTGAAAATAGCTGCCAGGGCTGCTGAACAGTGAGCTCAGCAAAAGGCCCTTGGCAACTTGCAGGAGGGAAGAGCCAAAGAAAGGCACAATGTAGTGGTTAGTGCCAGCCGGGCTATGAGCGTCAGTCCCTGTTCCCTGCCTTGCAGAGGGCCAGTCTTGAAAATCCAGACCTAATAGTGCAGGCTCCATACGAGCACCGAGAGCTAAAGAGTTTGAAGGAGATTCACGGGGTTTGTTTGAGATCCCCATGGGACATCTTCCCTGTAACCTCGGGATCTTCCTCCTCTTCTGGGTGTCTGTTTCTGTCTGAGATTCCCCGCATCAGGTGAGTCTCCTGGGATCAAGCAGCCTTCACAAACYGTCTTACCAACCTTAGATGAAAACTGTGAGAGTCAGCAGGTTCCCTAAAGGTGCCCATATCCTGCTGCCACTGCCGCTCAGCTTGCAGTATCAATTTAACAATGAGCACACACTCACWCTTTCTCTACTCGCCACAGACATTTTTATAAAACAAGCCCTTTGAGGAAATAAAAGGAGCTGCTCTTTTTTTGCAAAGCAGCTTAATTTTAAAGCTACTCTTCTTATTATTCAAAAATAATAATAAAAAAAGACTTTTAGCTGTGCTAACAGTGCTTCCTTCTGTTCAAATTTAATATACACCCTTGTACAAAACAGCATATGTGTAAGAGAAAGGCTGAAAACTCAACGTGCAAACATCCTCTCCTCTACATCAGCGCAGGAAATCAGGGCTGACCCACAGGCAGCTAAAGTCARTACCAATCCTCCTGCTAACAACAGGCTCTGCATATGCTAAAGAGGCCAAACCCCTAAGAGATGTTATATCCATTTCCCCTTATCCAGCTAAGGTGGTGAAACCAAACTGCAGCCACACAATCTGCAAAGCACAGGACAAGGCAGTGCAATGCAATGGGCCCAGGCTGAAATCTCACTGAGGAGCACAACAAAACACATCCTGTGTGGTGCAAAGGAGAAAAGGAAGCATCAGGCGAGGCAGCACTGTTGCTCGTAAATACCCCCTTGCTAAAGCTTTCCATGGAGAAATTAGTTCTCCGACTGCATCAGTGTGATTCAGACCATCTATTCCAAGGTACAAGCCCTGACTGTTTTGTTTTCAATGGGAACTTCTTTCCCGGCCTTTTCTTAGCTTCCTGCTTACGAAGAATAGATTCTCCAGAGACAACTTTGGACGTGGACCATGATCTTGCTCCCGTCACATAACTAAGCATCTCTGGGCAGGAGTACATTTAAAGAAGTAGCTGGTAATTATGAGCTGAGTGCTCACTGGCAGGATTTCCCCCGGCTGCTGTGCCAGAGCTTTTGGGAACTAAATGGCTCTTTGGTGATAATTAGCAGCTAAAGCTCACAAGCCAGGGGAGGCTCCCTCATTACAACCATCAGCAGGAAGCAACACGAAAGAAGGAGGGCAGAGCATGGTCAAAAGTTGTGTCTGTGGGTTCGCTCGACTCCCCTSTCCTCCACATATCCAACAGGGCTACACAGGGAAGCACGGGTATTTTCTAGGTAGCTTGAAGGCTACAGACTTCTTCCCACACCTACAGAGGCACTGAAACCAAAGGACCTTCACCTTCTCTCTGTTTATCCCAAGGAACAGAGCAGCACAGGATATCAGGCACGGCACTTACTCTTTGGGAGGGTTGAGGTCCTCTGGTCGAGCCTCGAAGAACCTGAAGACTTCATCACATTGGGAAATGTGAGGAGGAAGCCTGACCAGCGCCTGCACGGGAAACAAGAGGCAGGGAGAAGCAGTTAAAACCAGGTTAAAAACATGACCTTAAGCTGCATTACAGTGCAAAGGGAGGCCAAACTACCTTGACAGGGAGAAGGAAATAAACAGGGAAATACCACGTCTGGCTGCTTACAGAGAAAGTGAAGAGCGTGTGTTGCCTGCGAATGAATTTTTACTGGATTTAGACAGGTGAGGCAGCTAGAGTACTTCCTTTGCCACGTGCAGAAGAGCAGTATTTGCTCTGCACATGTAGGAGCAGGCAGGGGCTGCGTGGCCGAGCGCACTCAGCACCTCAGGCAGCCCAGCTGGGGCCTCCGGGCTCCCCTCCCATACACACTAATTCTAATAACGAAAATCTTCAGCCTCAACACCCACTACTCCAACAGGTTAACGTGCTCCAGAAGGCTCTCCCTTAAGCGCTGTCAACAGAAAAAGTAGAGTTTGGGAAAAAACAAACAAACAAAAAACCAACCCAAACTACAGTGTGCTGCTGAGTGGCCAGGAAAGGCGGTTTGATTAACTGCCTGCAAGGAGGGGTGCGGAGGCCACGTCCACCAGCAACATCCATCACTCGGCATGGCCGAGCACGAGCTGGGAAGGACAGGGAAGCGCCGCGCAGGGAAGCGCGCCGGTGAGCCAGCCTGCGGTCGGAGAGAGCAGCGAAGCAGGGGAATGCACCAGGATTTGGGATCTTGCCATTCAGATGCCAGARCCTGGCCGTGCAAGATGAGGCCAAGCAGGCACCCACCGCCCACAAGGAGACAGGGAGCAGCTCTGCGTGATGGATCTGGAGATCCACTCGAGACACGAGCAGCAGGAGAGGACGAGGGGCCCGGAGGCAACAGCCTCCTGTGCTGAGCTGTGCTGGAAACAGGCCATAGAAGCGGTTAAATATAGAGCGAGCTTCGTAGGGGTGCTGTAAACCTGTTTGACAAAATGAGATTGTCTGGCTCTTTTACCAGTCGAAAGTAGGACAAACAATCTTGAAAGAGGGATGAAAAACTGCACCAGAACTAAATGAAGGTGCATTAGGGCGAACTGGTTATACTAATGCATGGGACATCTCATTTATTTTGGTGCGACACACACAAGGAGGCCCAGCCAAAGCACTGGGGCAGGACGGGTCAGTTTGTAAACCCTTCTGCTTTGTTTTTAACCCAACTTTAGAAGTGCTGAAGTTTGTTTCCAAGACTGCTCCTGCGCGGGAGCACAAAGGAGAGCAGCGAGTCTCCTGGGGCAGATGACAAGGTCCTGTTCTGACGTGGCCCAAAATTCAACATTTAGTGCTTCCAGACCTACAGTTCTCTTTCCCTGCTTGAGGGATGTTACATAAACACAAGGAAATGTCACTTGATACCACGAGGCTTACGAAGAATGAGGCACTGACCTTCCGTCATTACAGAGCAGAGAAGAATATCTTGCAATAAGGAAGCAGCAGCAGATGCAGAAGCCTGGAAATAGCCTGGCAGGTCCCGGTGCCAGCAGYGTGCTCAGAGGACACTGCTGGCTCCTACACTAATGCGGGATGAGACAGAGCAGATGGAAAACTGAAGTGCTTTATTCTGAATGAAAGACGCCTTCGTCCCTGCTGCTATCCACTCAATCTTGCTATCTGGCCGAAAAACCTAACAAAGGTGTGAGCTGCCTGCCCTCGTCCCTGCTGTGTATAAATACACACATCCAGCCGGCAAATCAGGACTAGCACTGGGAAGTCAGTAACTGCCGGGAATAGCAACAACTTTGGCATTTTGAAAGAGGAAGAGAAATGCCCGGCTGCACAGACACAAGGGCGGCRCAGGCAGCGCCAGGGCAGGTTTTGCTCAGTGCCCGGGTTTGYGCAGGGCAGCACCGGCGGGACGCAGCGGCCGCTCTGCTGCTCGCACCCCTCTCGCTTTGGGCAGGATCCTTAACCTCTTGCTGTCAAATTCAGCAGGGAAATGCCCTCAGTTACCCATTTACAACACTGAGCACAAACACCTACCTAATCTGCAGAAAGGTTACAAGTCTCGGCTATTTAACATCCACAGCGTGTTTTGAAACCTGCAAGGGCTTGATCTTCTGCAGTCAATGGCAAAAGAGCAAGCACAGTAAATGACACGTGTCGTTGCTAGAGGAACATGAGTACCCAAGTTACACGTGTTGTCAGCAGGTCTGGGACATCAGACACCTCCTCCAAGCGCTGCCACTTCCTACACAGTGCAGGCGTGCAGCCTCCCTGGAAAGCAGGCTGCAGATGTCCATGCTGACTGCAGCACAGAGTGGGCTCCTGTGGCAGAGCAGCACAAATCCTAGCAAGCTGCCCTGCAGATCTGTGTGTCTAAACCCATGAAGGGTTTACAAAATCCTGCCCCATGAATCAGTGGCCCCATGCTTGAAAATCTCGTGTCTCCTGCTGGGCTGGAGGGGGAAATTGAAAATTAGCACCTGCTGGGAAATTCCAGGCATTCACAGGCAGGGAGCAGTGGGTAAAAATCACAGAATCACAGAATGGCTGARGTTGGAAGGCACCTCTAGAGATCATCTAGTCCAACCCCCTGCTCCAGCAGGGACACCCGGAGCACGGGGCACAGGGTGGCATCCAGGCAGGTGTTGAAGTCCCCCAGAGAGGGAGACTCCACAACCCCCTTGGGCAGCCTGTGCCAGGGCTCTGCCACCCTCACATTACAGCAGTTGAAGCTGGATTTCCAGCTCCACATCCATGTACCCGCCCCAGCCACCACCCGGACCCGTGGCCCTGGGGCCGTACTGGCTCCTCTGCTTCTGAATCACCTGCCAGAGTGCTGCAATCTTCAGCCCAACACCCTGCACTCAAATGAAAGGMACCCGCCATATCCTTGCCAGTGCATGTCTTTCCAGAGGTCAGCAATAATGCCTGGAGCCTCACAAATTTTATTCCCTTCTTTTACTAATGAGCAAGCCCCTAAAAAGGATAGGAAAAGCTAAGGAAGAGCAAAAAGAGTATAAAATGAGATAAAATTGGTCTATTGCTTTTGGAGGGTGGCAAGCAGCAGCAACGTTGTTTTGAAAATCCAACCTCTCTTCAGCAAACATACAGCATCCACGCACGAGCAAGCCAAATCCAGCACCATCCCACACAGGGACCAAAAGCAGACTGAGGAGACCAGCAATACTCCGCTGTCACTCCGAAAGGCAAAAAACCCCTTTCTAGCACTGCCAGGGACACGGTTGCAGGGCAGAGCTACAACAGCCTGAAGGGAAGACTGCAGCGCCAAGGCGAGAAGGGGAAAGAAGAAAACAGATGGTGAAAGGATGAAAAGGACAGGGAAGCGACATTCCTCCCGGGACTTGGAAGGCCGTGGTAAACACACACAGCTACCAAGGACAAGTGTCCAGAATCGGCGGGGGATTCGCACAGGAGAGGTGTGAGACGAAAGGGCCGGCAAGAAGCAGGCGGCCTTGCCCAGCGGCCGGGCGCTCTCCGGGACAGGCCGTCCACGCGCTCCATGTGCGCGGCCTGCGCGCCGCTTGCGCGSCCCTCGGCCCTTCCTGTGCTCTTTGTGCCCATAGCCATGTCTCTCCTTACAGTAGTATCCGTCTGAGGGAATCTCGCAGCATCACTGGGCGATACTGAAGGCTGTCAGGCCAGCTGGGATGCCGGGGCGTCAGCAACCAGCAGCGCAGCTGGCCCACGCGGGGCTTCCTTGCTTAAGGTTATGTGAAGTGCAGCCACCTTAGGGGACATGCGTTGCTGCCAGAAGGCTTCAGAAAACGCAGGCGAGCAGATGCAAAAGCCTGCACGTGACTGCAGGGACACATCGCGAGCTGTGTCGCAATCAYGTGGGTGTATCTGCAAAGGCAGGCTCACATCCATTCCCACAGAGCTATATGCATGCCTAAGTGCGTGTATACATATGTGCAGAATGACATTCACCCCACCAAACTTTACGTGACTAACACTGGAGACTGGTCACACTCGTCCAGCCGACTTCCACAGTCTCTGGGGAAAGACCAGCACCTTCAGCGGGTGGTTCATCCACCCCATCACACACATTTAGTCTCGCACAGGGTGAATCACTCTCTACCTCCCTCCACAGCCTGGTGAGGGAGTCCAGATACGTGTCTCTTAGGCCCCTGATGCTCCCTGAGGTTAATCCCAGCTCTGCACACAAATGCAGGACCATATCTGGGCCTCTGAGACAGACCATAAGGCACCAGAAGAACAGACCCTGCTCCACGTACTGAGAGGTGTACTGCAAATAATCAGCTCTCATTACAACAGCTGGTCTAAATGTAACTAGATTCCAAAACGTATGCAAAAATGACAGATTAAATTTTAGTTTTTCCTTTAAATATTTTCACTCTTTACCAGGACTATCATTCCATTTTCATTCAGCACTAACTTACAGGTACAAACACAAATGTCTGTGTATCCAACTTGACAAGTTCAGGGATTCAAACTTGAAAGAGAAGCAGGACTAATAGACCAAGGGCAGGTTATTATGTTTTGCTTTTTGATGTGTGCATGATCTCTCAGGCTGTGGACATCCCTAATAAAAGACTGACCAGTATTTCCTGGCACTGATGTGACTTGCTCATCATCCAATTTTTTATTTAGGTCGTGTACATTTGGGTATATAGGACTTGAGAAAAGCCCTTAAGCACCTACTTAAAGCCACCTCCAGCTGGGACAACATAAAGGCATGTGATGAATTTAAGTGAGTATTTATGACAGTGGCATTTTATGGGCTTAAGAATCCCTCTGAGCTAAGACGCTTCCCTCAGTCTGGACCTAAATGCAGGAAGGTGCAAGTCTGCAAAGGCTGCTCTGAGTTGTCATGGAGGGCTGAGTAAGGACAGAGTGGTGGCTTTGGGAACCACTAACCTGAGAGGTCTCCTTTGAACACAGGATGGTGCATATTGGACACGCACACACCAGAGGTGTGTTTGGGACACCAAAACCTTATTAAAATGCCCCTGACAAGGCACGACTATAAAGTTGTTCTTTCTTTCAYACTGGCACAAGCTCCTAAAAAATGAAGAAAAACAGCCTCAAGGAGCCCAGAAGACTGTAAATCAAACTAAGCCAATTCCAAGGTTGCAGTTCAGAGGGAAATCATCCAGAGATACCAATCCCAATGGGAAGTACATATTTACAGGCAGCACTCAGTCTGYTGGTAACTCGCTCACGTTACCAATAAGGACACTCAGACCCCATAATTTTATGTTTGCAGATGAGAAAAGCTTCGGAAATCTTTCCTTGTGTGCCCCACTCCTCTGCTTTTCACTGAAGCTTCAAAACTTTTAATGGTCAGAGCAAAAGCGCTGCCTTCATTATCTCTGTGATGCTATTTCTCTAAGCTGGTGTAAAGCAGTGACGAATTACACAGGCTTGAGGGGTCCAGAGAGCCCTGCTATGGGGCGCAGGGGGCTCACGGGCTCGATGGCTGCTACAGAGAATTTTGCAGACCTCAGGTACTGCTGATTCTCCCCACAAACACTCATCAAGGGCCTTTGCCCAGCCCTCGCTGCACCTGGGGCAAGAACAAGACACCAGAACAGCAGAAGTCACACCTGCTTCACAGTCATGCAAAGCATCACACTCGGCCAGGGACAGGCTGCAAAAACAACACAACAAGTGGCCAAACATTTGCATCACTCCTGTGCCAGGGCCACTTGTGCTTCCTCCTTCCAGGAGAGGTGGCTCAGTCCTCACGCGGCAAAGATACTACCATGAACTTCACATCTGAACTTGTCTCCTTCCTCTGTTCCCTGGCAGACACAAGTGGATAAAGGTCTATTGTTGCATTTATTCATTTTAATACCCTGTGGCAGATTCTCGCCGTCAACTTCACCCACATCATTCCAGCATCATTCTCTAAATATTTCCATATTAAGCATGCCATCTGCCTACCCGTTCTAAGAACAAACATGGGACATAAGCTCTGCACTGTTCCTTTACAGGAATGGGAATTGACCTGTCAAAATGGGGCTCTTGTTCTATAGTTCAGCGCAATTCTTCCAAAGTCAAAAAATAGACTGGAGGAGAGAAGAAAGGTAGAAAACAGCCAATGCTTCCAAAGTTTTAGGCATGATCCTCGCTCAAGTCATACTAAAACACACACACAGCAGTAGCTGCTACTGAATAGGAAATAGTAATGATTAATATTATTTTATTAGCAAAAAAAAAATGTTCCTTTCCTACACCACAGGGGGTTTTCCTTGAATTTCGGTTCAGCTTTCCAAAAGTTCACACTGGAGCTAAGCTTGCAACACAGGTTCCCTCTATAGTGGGATTAAGAAAAATTATCTTTTGATTTAGGCTGGTGAAATGAGCCAAGTATAGTTTTGACTCACCATCTCTCTTTTCAGTACCCTGTTCACAACTTTCTAGCATATCTGGTTAAGTTCATATGGGGATGTAAACCTTAAGTTACTGTGCTGGGTTACGAAAGTCGTATTCCCAGACACCTCTTAGGGATCACCTTTAGTGAAGTTACCAAGAAAGCAGCCCCATTATGCATTATGCAGCCCCAAAGATGAAGTTCTGCCTCTGCTAAAGTTCAGAAAGAAAACGATCACTGACTTCACCACAGCAAGAACCTTTCCATCTACAAGGTGTTTCTAAATTGAATCTTTTGGAACTCTGAAGTTYAGAGTTTCTAATTTTCTTCATATTTTTTGAAGTCCTGTGGACTATTCTCAGCGAGGTTTGGAAGAGCAGTAACACAGGACAACTATCCTTTGAATAAATGCAAATTGGATGAGCTAGAAATTTTCAAAAGAAAATCTTGTTTTTGCAGGATGTGCCACAGGAAGGTTGGCAGAGGTAGAAGTTGCAATTGCTGAGGGCCCTCTGTTTATATTCATACATTTCCAACTGCGGGCTGTGGGATTTCAAAGCAACTGGGTAATTCCTGTGCCAGGCATCAGACTGAGCAGCCACCAAGTTCTCTTTAATCCCTGTGATTAATTAGAGGCTTTAGTGGAAGGAGAAGAAGAAATTGGCCCATAACTGGGTACAGACAGGGCACCATTCTTACACTATGCCATTTTCAGAGTGAGCACAAACATGGCAACCACCTACACTGTGTACAAACTAATGCCCAGCTTTGAGTGAGAAACAGCCTGAGGGGGCATCATGTCCTGCCACTGGTCCCAGCATCTGTCTACCTGTAGACACAACCAGAATCATACACACCTGGACAAGATACACCACCTGGGAATGACTCCTTCCCATGCGGACCTGACTCCCCATGCAGAAAGACATGACGGGAGATGTAGGAAGACGACGCTCTTGAAGAGGGCATGCAGACACAAGATGCAATGTTTGCTCAAGCCTTTCAGGGACTCTAGTCTCACACTYCAACACTATGCAGTTTTAAATGTCTTTGTCTACCATGAAATACCAAGGCAATTAAACATAAATTACAGTAAACTACAAATGAACTAAAATGACACCAAATCAGAGACGAGAGACTTGCGAGCTGCAAATCACTGGAAGTGGACACTATTTAGGAGAAGTTGATGTATGTCTACCCTAGCTTTGTGCTCTTTGCTGGGCACTCACCGTGGCTGTTATTGGAGAAAGTAAACACTAGGCTGGAGGAAACTAGGGTCTAACCTGATGTGGCTGTTTTTATGCTCCTCAAAACGGCACTAATCATGAAGCAGATGAACCAAACGACTAGGCTTTGGGGCAGCATCCAGGCACCTCTTCGAGCTAGACAACAGCAGCAAACCYGCATGCCGGTGCCGTCTCCACAACGTGCTCCGCGTCAGCGCGGCCCCGGGCCGGCTCCGTCGGGGACATGGGGCACACACCGCCGTCCCCCCATACCGGGCAGTTGGAGGTCGCAGCTGCCTCCCCCCTCGGAGTCAAAGAGGCCTTTGGAGATAGCGCATCTGGAGTCAAAGAGGCCTTTGGAGATAGTGCATCTGCTCGGTGAACCCTGACATGGCGGCGCCGGCGGCGCGGGCAGTTCCTGTCTGAAGGAAGGAGGCAGGGGACGCAGCGAGAGCGCGCAGGGTTTAAAGCCAGCCCTCAGAGCCTGGCCAGGAAGACAGTGCGCTAATTGTCCCACAAAAAGCCTGATCTTATGAGATAAGGCTTTACTCAGGGTTTCCTTGCCGGGGTGGTTCAGCTGGCATGGCTTTCAATGGAGCCGACTTATCCCCCCGCCTCCCGCTTTCCCCTCGCCTCAGGCACTGTAGGGATCTGCTCCCAATTTTGGATGAGCAAATGTCTGACAGGAAAAGTTCTTGTGAATGTATTTTTTCCCCTCCACCTGCTCCAATGGCTTTCTGAAAACAGAAATACAACCCCATAGGAAATAAAAGAGGAAGTCTGGGGTTTAAATTATGCTCTCGGGCTGACATGCTTGATACCTCTATAAAAAACAGCTATCAGTCTTGCTTAGAAACGGCTTTTAATCTACTGTCAGAGGATTAATTATCAGCAAATCATAAACTCAAGGCTGGAAAGGAAAGATTAGGTTGCTTAACCCTCTTCTCCTCACCGCAAATCTTTTCTGTCCTGCAATGGATTTCTAGACTCTCACTTGCTTCTAGCAAGTCACTCAGAGGTATCCAGCCTACCTCGAGCTCTACACAAACCTGAATTTCCCTAACACACTGTTTCAAGAAGAGAGAAAAGACACAATTTTTGCTGCCTTTCTGCCCCCCAAACTCTTACATTCATCAAGACTGAAGTAAGCAACTGGCAGAAATAAAACCCACACATGTGAAATGCCCTAAAAAGGCAGACCAGGCTCATGTCTTCACCGCATTGACCAAGAGTCCTGAGACCAAAGAGTGGCCTCTACTTCCACTCACACCACTAGTGCCAGTGTTTGGGAAGTATCATCCTCTCTTGAGGATCTTCCTCCCTCATTTGGTTTCATGAAGACCCTTCCTGTAATGGCAGTACTTACCCGGCAGTACTCGTCAATGGGCTTCAGCCTCTTCACTGCCACATCCCGAACGTGGCTCCTCCGGAACAGGATCTTGCCTGAGGRGGGAAAATACAGAAATGAAGGTTTAGGGACATGCCACAATGGCATGCACGAGAAGCCGACCCCAGACATCAATGCCCTGGGCCTGCGTCTGGGCATGGGGCTTCACCCCCGGCCCAGCTCCTGCCCTTCCTTCCCCATCGGCGTGGSTGCTCCCACCCAGGCCCCGTCGCGACACTGCCGCCAGCACCCAAGGAAACACAGAGCAGCTGGCGACAGAGCCCTCGTCCATCTACAGAAGGAAACCACACAATAGAAGAAAAATAAACACACTAGACACTTCCAGACGCGTCCTTAGAATCACAGTCCTGACAGGAGATACAATTTGGGGCTTGTTTTTTTTTCTTTTCTTTCTTTTTTTTTAAGTGAAAAATAATAACCTCAACGTCCTTAGTAGATGACATTTCTGCAAGCTGAGTAAGATTAAATGAGTAGCTGTTTTTTGTGTTAAACTGATTATAACAAACTTTATCAAAATAATCTAGGAGCTGAGTTTCCCCACAGACAAGGATGTCATGGAGTTGGTATTTTTTTGGCTTGAAGGGATTACATCTTCATATCCTTTTTTGGTGGTTTTCTTTCCTTTTTCTTTGTGCTCTATTTCTTTTAATGTATTGAGACAATAAATTATATGTTCTCCTTGTGGTGGCAGATGAAGACAGTATCTGCCAGCGTTATTTAATCCATGAAATGTCTATGTAAAAAAGTACACTGACATATACATCAGCCTGCACTCCAAACATGGTCTGACAAAGTGCAAATGAAATACTCATCCGCAGATCATGGGATAAAAATACAGACAAGGAAATGAAGTCAGATCTGAAATCTGAATACGTGGCTTTGATTTTGCCAGATTTACAGAAGCTGAGAGGTTAATGAAACTATATCCTTTAATAGTGCAGTAGGAAAGGAGCTAAGCCCTCTCAGGCTAAGTGCCTTTGGTTGCCTTTCCTTCCACAGCTGCTAATCTATTAGGTTTTAAAATCTTACGCTTCAGACTAAGGGAACTGGTTTATTGCAYTGCTCAAATCTGGAAGCAAAACCGATTATGTCAGTTTGTTCTGTCAGATAAATTCATCATTTCATAGTGACAATAAATGCATCTCTCTGGGTCCATGCCGCTACCTCGCTACAAAGCTGGGGCCAGGCCGTGCCTGGAGGGTGCGATGCCGTGCAGCAACAGAACACGGAGGACACTGGAGATCTTCACTCAGGGTCCAAAACTTTCATCTGTCCTAAGTGATTCGGATAAAGGAGAGGATTTGGGAMTTCCATATCCCTGCACTGACTGACTTTGGTCACCTCAAAAGCTTGTTGTTCTCCTGCTTTTCCACCCAGTAGATGAAGAAACCTACCTGCCCTTACAAAACATTTCTTACTACTCCTGAAGGCTTCTAGGATCACACTGCAGTAAGCCTAAAACTTGTTTAAGTTGCAAAGAACAAGCAACATTTTGGAAACATTCTCATTTTCTGTCTTTCTTGTTTTCTGTCCAAACCACGAGTTGAAAGTCTATCTGGTAACCATATAAAAACACAAAGGAACTAAAGACTTACATGRAAGATCTCCCGTAAATGTAACTCAGCTTTCCTAAAAAGAGACTTTACAGGGAGGCCCAGTCTTCAAAGTAACATAATAAATGAAAGACTCAAACATAAGAAACAAGATAAATATAATAAAGAACGTTATATTAAACACAGAGTACAGAAAAGACCCCAGGATATGATGAGTCTTAATTCAGTCCTTAAATGGAGATGGAAAATATCAGGATGACTGTGGTGTTAGGATGAAGCAAAGCCCAGAAGGTGCTCCCATTTTTATCCTCTCAAAGAAAGGAAGGTTTTCATTCTGCTGAGACCACTAATGGAAAATACTGATACTGGAATACTGAAGCTAGAAAGGGCTAGATCAGGGTTATGGGGTAGATCTGTAGCTGCCCCATCCAGCACAGCATTAAGACCTTTGTCRTGCACAAGACATGCATGAAGTAGCAGTTGCCAAAGGAAAAAAAAACATGCAGAAGAATAAAGATATTCAGAAAACACATCCAGTTCTTGAGGGGGAGCACAGCAGAGAGGATGAGAAGATGGAGCATGACTTTGCCAAGCACAGTGATTCTTGGGCAGAAAAGCCTCATTTATGGGGATACAGAAGCAGCTCTAAGGAGGCACAGCCTCCCAAATGCTCAGCTTCTTTCTTTTCTGGGAAGAATGAATGTGTCAAAGTTGGCTGAACGCATCATCCCTGCATAGCAGGAACCACGGCCTCCAGTAGAAGTTACTGCAGCTTTCTCCACTCCTTCCATTTCTACTCCTCTTCTTTAGAAACCAGCGTAGATCCCCGGGGGCTGGAAAAGGAAGGCAGGGCTGAGCYGTGCACTTCTTCATGGTCCCCAAGTGACTACAGATCCACTTCTCAACAGCACACGCTAATGGGAAGGTTTGACTAACTAGGTAGGGATATTCTGTTATTGCCATGCAGAAATAAACAGCAGGGGAATAACTGAGCAGTGGGGACACATAAAAAACACCGAGAAAACCTCAGGAGGTCAGAGGAAAGGAGTGTTTCATGCAGTACTGATGTGAGATGGGGAACTCCTAGGGTGGCTAGTAAAGGAGAACAGCTTGGGCAATTTTCTTGGAAGGGTGGTGTTCTGGTTTGTGTGCCGCTTGGCTCGTCCCCTTGGTTCACACATCTCTAAGGAAAGGAGCAGCCTCTACACAAAYACATACACTACTGCTTCCTCTCCGAGTGACAAACTGCATTTTATTGCAACTTTTTTTACATCTCCCCAGGCACTAAGCCCCATTTCACACAAGGCTGAGCAGCTTGTTAACCACGCTGCAACCCAGCCAGGGAGTGAATGGAAAGTCTGTCTCAGTCTCGGGTGGGAAGCTATAGGCTATGYGGGACCGTGCTGCATTTTGCCAGTATTATTCACAGATGTGCCAGACTTGGGCAGGGCCAAGGGAGATCTGTGTTAAGAAGGACAACTAGGACTGGAGCAGTGGGGAAAGAGAAACGGTGGGAAGACCCAGGGCTCCAGCCCTGCTGCTAATGCAATACAACAATATTTATTTTTATCCTTTTTTTGCTTTAAAGAAAATATTATTGCTAGGAAATTAATGTGGATAAGAGGGAAAGTATCAGGTTTAGCATTGTAGGGGACATCTCTTCATCTTTCTTTGTTAACACAGATACAGTCTTTAATTCCATGGCCACACACTTCTTCTTCCATGGGACCTTGGCCTCCTCTTACATCCAGACTGCATTCACGGAGTGGGAGGAATTAAGCTGTCTGGGAGATTGTGCAYCTGGCATCTGCTGATTCTGCAAGCGCAAGGGTGTTCTCTGAATCTCCCTTTATTCCCACATAACATCACAGCTAGTGAGGCACAGACTTTAACAGGCACCGTGTACCCTAAGAACAGACAGGTTAAAAAGCACCCCAGAACTCTGCTCCACRCAGCAGCCTGTGCTCCTATGGGCAATAAAAAAGCTCTTAACACGGCCAATACTGCCTGCAGAGAAGAGAGATGAACAGGACGCAGGGGCACACGTATGCCCAGCACATGGGAAGGGTCCATYCTGCAACGCTCTGCAATGGTGGTGGACTTGGTCCCAGCAGAAGAAGCCCATCTCCACCTGCCAGTGACACTGCTGGCAGGGACTGCAGGGCAGAGAAGTACTAGGRGTCCCCAACTGGTGCCTAGCAGGAGAGACCAGGGTTTCTTTTTCAAGGAAAGGGGAAACGTAAGTCATGCTCTTGCTATCACAGTGGATCTGAGCTGACTCAGCAACTGCTGCTCTAAACGGGTGTTTCACAAGCTCTCAGACAACCTTTAATAAAACGTATCTCCTAATTGCACCTTTCATTGTGAAGGAGAAGCCCTGTGTATCTAGACCTGGAGACCTTCTAGASGTCTTCCCTTCTGCCACGGTGGCAGCCCCTCAACCACAAAGTGCCAGAATTGCTGCTCTTTGGGACAGAGCTGCTGAGTGGGAGCTTCAACACTCGAACTCAGGCAGCACCTCAGCAAGGACTACAGGGAGGCAGGGAAATGGCTGTTTAGCTCCTTTCCAAATCTATCGGAGAACAGAACCAGGGATCCATGTATTTCTCTTACTCTGCTTATTGAGCTTTTCCTTTCAATAGATGTCTGGCTGATGGACAGATTTAAGGACACCAGTTGTTTCACAWAAGGAGCGTCTCTCCATGGAAGGCTAGGAAAAGCCCACACCCACTGTAAAAGGAACAGTGAGGAGACCCATATTGCCTTTAATCTTCTACCTCAAGTACAGTCACCACGCTTCAGAGGGCAATAAGTGAAGCAAACCATATGAAAAATATTTAACAGCAGACAGCCCGAATACTCACGGGCATGTTAAATATATAATAATGTCTCATCTGATTTATGATTAAAAAAGACATGTGTTGCCTCCAACTTTAGCAGCTACAGCTGTGGGGGCTATGCCCATCAGCTGTCTCTGAAGAAGAACAAGGGTATTTATTTCTGGCTTTATGCATTACTGTGCTGCTGGTTCTCTCCTCCTTTTTTACCTGAGAAGCTGGGAGATAACAGGTATACATTATGATGAAATATGTTCAGCCTAAGATCAGCTTCTCAGAGGGAGAGTTTGCTTAAGAGGTGAGGTCAGACTCTTTCTGCAGAGACACTGGGGTTGCATCAGTGGAAAAGAGAGAAGAATTTTGACCTAGCACAATTACAGCTTCTCCTTTGGGGCAAACAGCTTCCTCCAGTGTAAATAACACCACTTTGTGGCTGAAGTATTTTTACAGGGTTTCCATTTCTTATACAAAGCTGCTCTTCTTATTTTTATACACTGAAGAAGCACAAAGGTCCTATCAAATATGACACAAATTTCTTTCAACCCATTTAAGCTGTGACATTCCCCCACAGGTTCTGCAACAAAAGCTCAGGCACCTGTCATACACTATAAATCCCAAGGACAACATTCAAAAATGTACTGCCAC